TCTAAAGAGGAGGACATTCTGAGCCTCCTTCTCTGAAGAGGAGGACATTCTGAGCCTCCTTCTCTGAAGAGGAGAACATTCAGAGCCTCCTTCTCTGAAGAGGAGAACATTCACAGCCTCCTTCTCTGAAGAGGAGGACATTCTGAGCCTCCTTCTCTGAAGAGGAGAACATTCACAGCCTCCTTCTCTGAAGAGGAGAACATTCACAGCCTCCTTCTCTGAAGAGGAGAACGTTCTGAGCCTCCTTCTCTGAACATCCAGCAAGAACCGAAAAGCACTGAAACCCTCAGCTAGTTTTTGTTGACGAACAGCGAACCTGCCAGACTAAACTGAGGGCAAAGCCCCCGTGACGCGTCGCCAACCTAAACAACGGGAAAGGGTGGGGCCTATGAGAGTCATCCAATCATAGAGAAGGCGTGCTTCCGCAGAAGAGCGCCATTGGTTGAAAGTTTGCGTTCCTGTGTTTATTATATAAAGGCTCCAACCTGCTGCAGGTCCAGCCAGCCTCACCTTGCCTAACATGTCGGTAGACAGCGTGTTCCGGACCCGGTCCCTCGGTGTCGCTGCCGAGGGGCTTCCCGATCAGTACGCCGACGGAAAGGCGGCCAAAGTGTGGGAGCTGTACATCGGAGACACCCAGAGCCGAACCCAGGAGTACCGGAGCTGGGTGGTTTCCCTGCTGAGGCAGCACGGCGTCCGGACGGTTCTGGATGCGGCCTGCGGTACCGGGTAAGGCTTCCGGGTTTAGGAAGGTTCTGATCAATCGGTTCTGTTCGGATGGGTTCCTGGTCCAGATTATTGTTGAACATGAAGCGGGAGGAGCAGGTCCACCCGGAACATGAGCCTCATTACCGGGACACACTCTGTGGAGGAGGAACAGCTGGACCACAATCCCAGGATGGTTCTGGTTCTACGGGGTCCAACGTGATCGGTACTCCATCCATCCATCCATCCATCCATACATCATCATCCATCCATCCATCATCCATCCATCATCCATCCATACATCATCATCCATCCATCCATCCATCCATCCATCCATCCATCATCCATCCATACATCATCATCCATCCATCCATCCATCCGTCCCTGCATCCATCCATACAT